CGTATCTATCTATCATCTATCTATCATCTATCATCTATCATCTATCTATCATCTATCATCTATCTATCATCTATCATCTATGTATCTATGTATCTATGTATCTATCTATCTATCTATCTATCTATCTATCATCTATCTATCTATCATCTATTGGCTAGTTATCTACCATCTATATGTCTACTTACTATCATTTCACATTCTGTAGTATAAAGATGCTCCCCACAGAACATGACACACTGGGTATGATAACAGCAGTTCACATGTTCCATTTCACACTCTACACTGAAGAAAACCTCTGAATGGGACTATGGTCAGTGAACTGGTCCCATGATTAAATTGGTATTTCTGTTTCTTGTTCTATTTTTGAGGATAAATAGTTAAATTCAAGTAAGTTAAGTGCATACATAATCTAAACATGCTGGTTGATGGCCAGATGTTACAGCTGAGTCCAGGGAGTATATCCTAGCTAGTATGCAATGCTTTAAACAATAATTCAAAATTAAGAAACTATAAAGTCATATGACCTTTACCCACATTACTGCTTCCTTTTTACAGTCTACCAGAGTCATCCAGCTTGTGAATTTGAGAATTGATGCATATCATTTGCTCAGGGATTTTGTCACCTAAGTTAGTATTTTGCATTCTAAGACACTCAGGAATGGATAATTTAAGAAAGATGCTTGAAGAGCAAGGTGAAAACCAAAGGAAACCTGCAAGTGGTGAAGTCTGTCTTCTCCAAGGGTGCCGAGTGGTTGGGGAAGTCTTCTATGAGGAACACGGACAGGCTGTTGTTGACATATCCACTCAAGGAGCTGGAGTTGGAGTATGCGTAGTAGTAAACTAACCGGGGGATGATGTCCGATGTGAAAGCCACGATAAAGGCCTGAGAGGCAGAGGAAGAGACAGGTGATGAGTCAGCCCGGTGCTCAAAGTCTGACCTCAGTCCTACCAGCCTCATGGACGTGAGGGATGACACGAAAGGGCTCATGGGTAACCTAAGACAGTCTTCCAAGATGCCACAGCTACGAACTGGCTAAGGCAAGAGCTGAATCCATATGTATTTGCTGCCAGGAAGTATGCTCCTTCCCTGTGCCTCTCCATGTCTCCAGTCTGTTCGATAACACAGCTCTGCTGTCCTAACAGAATTCCCTTGACTGTGCTGTGTCAGATGGCAGAAAGAGGGATGGCTGTGTGTGTGTGTGTGTGTGTGTGTGTGTGTGTCTGTGTGTGTCTATGTGTATCTGTGTGTCTCTGTGTGTCTCTCTGTGTGTGTGTCTATGTATATCTATGTGTATCTGTGTGTCTGTGTGTGTGTCTGTGTGTATCTGTGTGTCTGTGTATCTGTGTGTGTCTGTGTGTATCTGTGTGTCTGTGTGCGTGTGTCTGTGCATATCTATGTGTATCTGTGTATCTGTGTATATATGTGTCTCTGTGTGTGTCTTTATCTGCATGAGTCTATGTGTATATATCTGTATGTATGTGACTATGTTTGTATATATATGTGAGTGTGTGTGTGTGTGTCCGTGTATATCTATGTGTATCTGTGTGTCTGTGTATATCTGTGTGCCTGTGTGTCTGTGTCTGTGTGTATCTGTGTGTCTGTGTGTGTGTCTGTATGTGTCTGTGTGTCTCTGTGTGTGTGTCTCTGTGTGTCTGTGTCTGTGTGTATCTGTGTGTCTGTGTGTGTGTGTCTGTGTGTATCTGTGTGTCTGTATCTGTGTCTCTGTGTGTGTCTTTATCTGCATGAGTCTATGTGTATATATCTGTATGTATGTGATTATGTTTGTATATATGTGTGAGTGTATGTGTGTGTGTCTGTATGTGTCTTGTGTTGTCTGTACTTGTGTCTGTATGTGTTCCTGTGTCTCTGAGCCCGTGTGTCTGTATTTATGTTTGTGTGTATCTGTGTGTGTGTCTGTACACTGTGTTTATGGGAGCTGATGAAGAAGGGATGGAGGGGTTGGTCCTTTCTTATAGTTTATTACAATGACTTTCAGAACTGTGTCCCATGGAGATACTATTTATAAACACACACCCTCCCTTTCTTTTTAACTAAACCCTAGAATTGCAGAAAACAGCTGATTTCTTTTAGACTATATGAGACCATTTACAACCATGTATCTGGTTGTGGTATTTACACATTTGTGGTAGCTTTAAAAATGTATAATTTTTACTGAGTCTTTAAGAATTTCATACAACACATTTTGCTCAGACTCAGACCCCCTCCCCCACTCCGTTCCCACCCTACTAGCCCCCCATTTCAATTTCCTGTCTTTACTATTACTTTTCTTTTCTCAAAGGCTTACCTAAGTTGTGTTGCCCAAATGCTCTAAAATGTTTTTAAAATTTTTATTTATTTACTTAATTTTATTTTTTATATGAGTGTATTGCTTACATGTGTGTAATTGCACCAGTGTTGTGCAGTGCCTACAGAGGTCAGAAGAAGGCCTTGAATACCCTGGAACTGGAGTCATAGACAGTTGTTAGCTGCCATGTGCGTGGTTCTTGGAATCAAATCCAGGCCCTCTGCAAAAACAGCCAGTGCTCGTATCTGCTGAGCGTCTTTCCAGCCCTCTTGGGTGTATCTTTTTTGTTTTAATTAATTAATTAATTAATCAATTATTTTTGACAGGGTATCCCTAACCCCAGCTTGCCTGGAACTCACTATGTAGACCAGGCTGTCCTCGATCTCACAGAGAGCCACCTGCCTCTGCCTCTTGAGTACTGGGATTCAAGGAGTGCATCACCATGCCTGGCGTGGGAACGTTTTTTAAAAAGCCTTTGTTATTACTTCTATGTCTGCTGGTCCTTTGGATTTTATATCACTTACTGAATATATTTGTTATTTTAATTTTTTTCTAACAATTGGTAACTTCAAATTGATTTTAAAAATTGGTATTGAGTAGTCTTCCAGTTTTCAGGATTTTGGGGTGTGTGTGGTGTGTGTGATGTGTGTATATGTGTGATGTGTGTGTATGTGTGATGTGTGTGTGTGGTGTGTGTGGTATGTGTGATGTGTGTATATGTGTGATGTGTGTGTGGTGTGTGTGGTGTGTATATATGTGTGATGTGTGTGTATGTGTCATGTGTGTGTGGTATGTATGTGTGATGTGTGTGTGTAGTATGTGTGTGTATGTGTGATGTGTGTATATGTGTGTTGTGTGTATGTGGTGTGTATGTGTGGTGTGTGTGTGTATGTGTGGTGTGTGTGTGTGGGGGTGTGTGTGTGTGTGGTGTGTGTGTGTGTGTTCATATGTACTGGACAGGATGGTACATTGTGGTACAGAAGATGGAGAATATTGACAAATAATCCAGTCTGAGGTCTATTGAGGTGATGGTGTTAGGTTGCTAATTAGATACTACCAGGCTTGAAGGCCATTGAAGATATATGTTTTCCTCATAATCAGTTTGTAAAACCAGGAACTAAAGCTGCAGT